GGGAAACGTATCTTGAGGCACGTTCGAAGCTACCCGAAACAGAATCTGCGAACGTAGCGCGAGCCATGCACGAAGCTTCGCAGATTGCAGCCCGACCCCAAGCACGACGACGCCAACCATGGATCTCAGGTGCCACCATTGCTTTGCTGGCAGAGCGAGACCAAGCAAGAACAAACGGCACAGGGGAAGAGACAATATTACATCAAGAAATCAAGGAAGCATTGCGACGGGACAAAGCAAAGTGGTTGGAATCTACATTGGCCGGGGGCTCCTGGAAAGCCATCCGGGGACTAAAAACTACACCTTCGAAGACGCTGGTCGCAATCAAAAACCAGGGGGGGGGGACATCGTGGAGAGCGACCAAAGATCAAGCAGTTTAGCAGACTATTTCGAAACTGAACAGTGGAAGATCAACTTCCCAGACAAACTGCCTGGAGGGACAGAGACCGTGGGACATCAGCTACATATAAAGACGGAGGTGTTCTCGATGGACGAACTAGTGCAAGCATTGAAGGCGTTATCGGTTTCAAAGGCGGCGGGCCCAGATGGTATTTATCCGGAGTTCTGGAAGTTCTTATCGGCATCAAAGGTCGCGTGCGAATCTGTGCTTGATCTTTGCGCAGAATGCTGGAAACAAAAACGTATCCCTGCAGAGTGGAAGACGGCGAAAGTAGTATTATTGTACAGCAAGGGAGACGCCAGTCTGCCATGCAATTTCCGCCTCGTATCTCTATTAGCAGTGGAATATAAAGTACTGGCGTGGATGCTACAGAAAAGACTTCAACGTGGAGGGACAGCAGATCGCATCCGCTCAACGCAAATCGGTTTCAGGCCACAGCGCGGCACAGGATACGCTATCACCATGGGGCGCCGCATCCCAAAGCAAACCGCAACAGACTGGGCAGCTTTCAGGCGGCCTGCTTGCGGCAGATTTTAAACATACCTCACGCGTACGGGTCAAGAGTATCAAATGCTGAAGTGAGGGCGCGCGCAGGCGCGCGCCCACTGAGCAACGATTTATTGAATCGCTTCGCTCACTCCGCCGGCCCATTTCGCATGACTGAGCCTCTTGGGGCCGCTGGGGGGCCTCTTCAGCGTCGCTTGGGGGCCTCCTGAGGGCCTCTTAGGGGGCTTTTGGGGCTTCTCAGGGGCCTCTTGAGACCTCCTGGGGGCTTCTTAAGGCCGAGGGCTCGAAGTTTTGTTTCGTGTTCCCCCTTTGGGGCATCGCTTGGGGCCCTCTTGGGCCCCTCTTGGGCCGTCTTGGATGCTTCTGGGGCCGTCTTGGAGCCCTCTTGGGCCATCTTGGGGCCTTCTTGGGAGCTTCTTGGGCCTTCTTGGGGCGATCTTAGGGGCCTCTTGGGCCGTTTTGGAGCGTCGGGAAGCCGAAAAGATGGACACGCCAAAATCTGCCCAAAACCTGGGGGCCATCTTGGGCGTCTTGGAACGATCGTGTGGCATCTCGGAGCACTCATGAACCATCTTGGAGGGCTCTGGGAGGCCTCGTGGCCTTTCTTGGGGCTCTCTGGAGGGCCACGGGGGCGGCGCCCAGGAGGAGAACCATCTCTGACCCGAGTCTGCCGGGGATCGCCCGGGGTACTTTTCGTCCAGGGACCCCCAGCGGCCGCCCCGCGCGCGCGAAGTAGAAGTATCATTTAGCAGTTGCCGGAGATCTTAGCACGCCTCTGGCCCGTTTGGCCGGCGCGCGCCCATTGAGCAACGATTTTTTAGAACAACAAGGCAAAGTGTATAGCAAGATAGCACAACTCCCCGATGGACATATCCTGCGTGACCTCCTGTGTGAGCCTGGAGGGAACACACCGAGGAAGTGGTGCCGAAAGCGCAGACGTGGACGCCCGAAGCTGCAGTGGGCGGCGTGCGTTTTCCCATGCGCATCCTGGTAATCTTTGCACTCCATGTGTAGTTATGTTCTGCGTATGCGCCGTGTGGGCGCCTGGCTGCCTTGCTTGCTTGCTTGGAGGAAGAGGGGCGGGGGAGGGAGGGGGAGGAGAGGGAGGGGGGAGGGCGGGGGAGGGGGGAGGGGGGAGGGCGAGGGAGGGGGCGAGGCGGGAGGGAAGAGGGGGGCGAGGGAGGGGGGGCGAGGGAGGGGAGAGGGAGGGGAGGGAGGGAGGAGGAGGGGGGAGTGAGGGGGGGTGAGGGGGGAGGGAGAGGGAGGGTGGAGGGGAGGGCAGCTGTGCACCCTGCTGATCCTGGCGCAGGGCTTGACCTTTAGCGGTGCTCTGGCGATCTCTCGTGGACCGTTTTCGCTGTGGTTCTGGTCTGCAGCTCGGGTGGAACGAGGACAAACCTCAGGCGATCGCAAACATGGGTCAAGGGCGCATAGAGTAGACACGAGCCCCGTTTCCAGAGAAAATCACGGATTTCCGCCGCCGAGCTAGGCGGCACTGGCCGCATTTTGGGGAGGGCACCTCCCCCGATGCATGGATTTGGCGATCGCGCGCCAAACCCATGGATCGCTAATCCATGTTTGCGCGCCCCCGGAAACCGAAAGAAAACGGAAACAACATGAAGACGAAAAACACTGCTGAGGTCGAGCCCTGGACCCTGGCCGGGCCCATGCCGAGCCCAAGAGGGGGCCGGCTGGGGTTTCGGCGCAGGTGGCTGGTTTCTGCGCATCTCCGAGGGGCGGGGGCTCTGCAAGAGCGACGGAGGGAGGGGTGAAGGGGGTGAGGGGGGACGCCTGCTCCCTCCCCTGCCCCGCCGCCTCCCCTGCCCCGCTGCCTCCCCTCACCCTATCCTCGCCCCCCCATGTCTCGCTGGCTCCCTCGCGCCCCGCCCGCCTCCCCCCTCCCCTCCCCCCCCCTCGTCGGCCTGCTCGCTGTGTGGCTCCTTGGCCCCCGCTCGCTCTCTTGCGCTGGCCTGCCTCGTCCCCTCGGGGGGGGTCTCGCTTCTCCCGGTGGGTTGCCACTCGCGCGGGGGAGGGGGTGTTTACTGACCCGCAGCAGAGATGAACCCCTGCCCGTCATGAGAATGCGTGGGGTTGGAAGAGGGAGCGCCCCGAGGAGGGGAGGCCTGCCCGGGAGCGGCGGAATGTCATGGGAGCGAGCCTCTCCCAACAGCGCGCCCCGCCCGCTGCCGGCGCTGGCCAGACGAGAGTCGCGGCGTCGGAGACTTCTGTGTCCCTGGACCTACCCCCCATTCTAGTGCACCACCCACCATTAGGAGGGAAAAAAACACACAGACACAATTAATCGACGATCCCCATGAAAATATGGGAAAATATGGGAAGTGGGGGGGAAGACAAAAACCCAGAAAATATTGGAAAATATGGGGAATCGTTTTACTTGTGTGTATTTATTTGTGTGTCCTGGGGCCCCTTCACACCAAACCACCCCAACCCAAGCCGAAGGCCTCAATTTGCCCTCCATTTCCAGTGTGGGGGTGTCGGGGAACAGTGACAAAACCCATGGGACCCATACCTTCCCCCCAGCCCGAACTTCGATTCGTCGGGTTGGGTTGGGGTGGTCTGGTAGGTAGTCACGAGTGGCATCTTCAACGAGCCCCCCGCGCCCGCGCGCGGGAATGACTCATTCCGATGTGTGTTTCTGGCGCCCGGAGCCACTCTCGCCCAGAGGGCTGGCGGCGCCATTCGTCGTTCGCGGTGCAGGCTGGCCAGCTCCACCCAGACATCTGATGTCTTGAGTTTCTCAGTGCACACCAGTCGTTGAAAATACTAGGTATTCTTAGAGGTCCAGATCCCAGTCTAATTTAGGCGCCTTCCTACATTTCACGAGTCGAACGGTCGCCCCTCTCTCCTCCTCTTCAGACTGCGGGCCGAAGCCCAATGTGTTTCCAACGCCATCCTACTTCCTGTTTCCACCCACTTCTTCCGACCAACGAGTACGCCCCCCCCCCCCCAGAGGTCTGGACCTTTTGACCAGGACTGGCTTCGGCGTCACCCCAACATACTTATACTATATGTGGTTCGTCCCCCCAGGGGCGACGCGCGCACCGAGAAATCTTGTAGTGTATGCGTCGTGGCGGGCGCTTTCTGGCCATACCGCTCGGGAAACGATATACTACAAGATGGGTATACTCCATGTTCGGGTCGGACGCGCGCCTCCAAGGAGGACATATAGTATTAGTATGTCTCTGTGTGTCCCATGGCTCTTCATCCTGAGCCGTTTGTTGACGGGCCAGGGGCTAAGCAGGGGCCGCCGTGGGCCAAACATGGCGAGAGCCTCCGCGCGGAGCTTCTCGAGAGGTGGGAGGCCCGGGCGGGCAGACGTGCCGTCGGGATCCCTCTCGCTCCGCGTGGTGCACGTCTGGAGCACGCTCAATCAAGCCGTCGTGGGGCCTCCTGGGAGCTTCCTCGGGGCGACTTGGAGGAGGAGGAGGAGGAGGAGGAGGAGGAGGATGAGGAGGAGGAGGAGGAGGGGGAGGAGGAGCCTCTTGGGGGCCTCTTGGGGCCTCTTGGGCCTCAGAGGGAACGTCGTGGGCCGTCGTCGGGCGCTGCTGCGCCGTCTGGCCCTCGGGCTCCTTGCGGAGGTCGTCCTGGAGACCTCGCGGAGCCGCCGCAGAGCTCTCTCGGGGACCTCTTGGGCTCGTCCTCAGGGCCTCTGGGGCCATCTCGGGGCCGTCTTGGGCCCTCTTGAGGCCCAAGACGGCCCCAAGATGGTCTGGCTCTCATTGCGGGTGTTCCCAGCGTCTCCGTTTCACCGTCTCCCTCTTGAGTTGCTCGGTCCTCGTGTTCATTTAACAGCGTTTCTACACGTCTGTATTCCTCTTCTTGTCATCCTCGCCTTTTTACCTGGCCCTCTTGAAGGCCTCCTGGGCCGTCTTGGGGCGATCTCGGGAGGGTTCTTTGGCAGTTTTGGGCGTTGTGAAGACCAACACGGTTAGAATGTACATATTAGTATAAGAATTTTTAGTTGTTCGACATTTTGGGTTCTTTGGATGCTTTCTGGAGGGTCTTTGGGCCCGGGACCGTGAGACATCGATCAGTGATGAGCAAATCGTCTGGAATCTTCGCCACACCTCAGGTCTTCTGCTACTTCTCACTGACGTGCGGGATGCAGCTGCTCCTCTTCACGTACGTAGTGTGGCTGCTGTGGAAGGAACTCCTTCTTTTCGTTCTCTTCGTCGTCTCAGCTATATTGTCTGCCTCTGCGCCCTGGTATTGCCATGTCTTCCGTCATCGTCTTCCTTCTCCCAGTAGGATGTCCCTCCAGTCTGCCAGCCAGATACCCCAGGCAAGGCGACGTCTGATGTCGACGTTCAGCTTTGGCAGCTCATCTGTGTCTCGTCCTGTCACCGTGCCCCCGTTCAGTGACTGCAGGTCTTTCGCTTGGGCAGCATCTTCGCCGAGCAAGTCTGCCGACAGAGGAGGACGAGGAGGAGGATGAGGAGGAGGACGAGGAGGAGGAGGAGGAGGACGAGGAGGAGGAGGAGGAGGCGGAGGTGGAGGAGGAGGAGGAGGAAGGAGGAGGAGGAGGAGGAGGAGGAGGAGGAGACATCTATCCGATACTCGTCTGGCCGTGTGGCGTAAGATCGAACCCGGCCTGCCGGCTTCGCCGCTCGCCCGCCGGAAGGCACCAGCTGCTCGCCCAGCATCGATCCAGGCCCGTCCTGGGCCCAGGGTGGGCCTGGCCAGGATGGCTGGAGGAGGGGGAGGGGGAGGGGGAGGGGGAGGAGGAGGAGGAGGAGGAGGAGGAGGAGGAGGAGGAGGGGGAGGAGGAGGAGGAGGAGGAGGAGGAGGAGGAGGAGATGGGCCTGGCCAGGATGGCTGGAGGGATATCCGCAGACTTCCGACGCGTTGATGTTCTTCTCCACCCGCGGCCCCCCCGGTCTCGACCCCTTTCCTGGGGGCTGCCTTTCGCCCGGCACCTATCCTTTTGAAGCCTCAGAGGGGCGGCGAAGTGGCCCCAGAGGCCCCAACAGGAACCACGCCAGGACCAAACGCATAAGTCTTGGCAGTTGGTGTTCTCCCGCCTCTTCCCCACCCTTCTCGTCGTCGTCGTCGTCGTCGTCGTCGTCGTCGTCGTCGTCGGCTTCTCCCCAGAACGGTATCGGCTTCTTCCAGCACTTCTGGTCGATCTGCGACCTGGCACCTGGGGCGGGGGGCCGACGGCCGCCGAAGGCCGCGTCTCTCGGCGGGAGGAGGAGGAGGAGGGGCGTGGCCTCCCGCTCGCGACGAGCTCTGGCGCGCAGGCCCTCTCCCGTCACCCCGGCCCCACCCCCATCGCCCAGGAGATGATGCTGCTGCTGATGATGCTGCTGCTGAGGATGATGGTGGTGATGGTGATGATGGTGATGTTTATGGTGATGGTGATGCTGGTGCTGATGCTGATGATGCTGATGATGCTGATGATGCTGCTGTTGCTGCTGCTGATGGTGATGATGCTGATGCTGCTGCTGTTAATGATGATGATGATGATGATGATGGCGTTGATAATGGTGCTGGTGATGATGTTGGTAATTTTGATGCATGACGACGGTGGCGATGACGGTGGTGATGGTTGTCGTGGTGGTGGTGGTGATCGCATGGTGATGGTGGCGGTAATGATGAGGATAAGGATTGTGGTGATGATGACGGTGGCGATGATGGTGAGGACTGTTGTGGCATGTGGCGATGATTGTGGTGATGACGATGATAAGTGTGATGATGGTGAGATGTTGCTGCTGCTGCTGCTTGTGCTGAGGATGCCGATGGCTGCTGCTGCTAGTGTGGCTGCTGCTGCTGCTATTACGGATGATGTTGTTGTTGCTGACGAGGGTGAGCATGTTAGCGATGAAGTTATTTCTGGTGGCCTACGGCCCATCTCCCCACCGCGCTCGGGTTGCATGTCGGAGTCTTCTGAAATGCCCTTCGGATCTCGTGGGCGGCATTTCGGAAGCCTCTTGGTGGCGGTTCTCGGGTGTATTGGGGCTTCTCGGGGGCCTCCCGGGGGCCTCCCGAGACTTCTTGGGGGCCCCTTCGCGGCTTGCTAGCGGTCACGGGGGTCAACTGGGGGCAGAGGGCTCTGAATGTAAGTTGGAGTTCCCGCTCTCGGGCAATATTGGGGGCCTTTTGGGCCGTGCTGAGTCCTTCTTGGGCAATATTGGAGCCCTCTTGAGGGCCTCTGAGGCCGTTTTGAGGTGATTATCGGGGCCGCTTGAGCCGTCTTGGAGCGCCCGGAGCCCACAAAACGCGGGCATGCTTAATTCAAGCAACCAACTTTTTTTTCGGAATCAGTGAAGTTTGCCTCTTGGGGCCCTGTTGGAGCCCTCTTGGGGCGTCTTGGGGGGTTCTGGGGCCGTCTTGAGGCCATCTTGTTTTTTTTTGGGGGGGGGGGGATTTTTGGGCGACTCGGGGCCCTCTTGCACGGCACTTGGGGCACTTTGGGGCAATTTTTGCCCGTTTGTGGACCGTCCCGTCTCCAAAGCAGCCACGCCACTACGCGCGCCAACATGCGAGACGCCTTGGTACTCAGGGTTGTGGGCCCATTAAGGCGTTCACTGTTCTATACAGAGGGCTTCCAAGGGACCTGATTATACACCGACTCGAGCCTCGAGCCACGGTGGCTCATATATGTATATGTAAATATATATATATATATATGTATAGGTATATGTATATGTATATGTATGTGTACATTTATATGTATGTGTATACGTATGTGTATATGTACATGTACATGTACATGTACACGTATATGTATATGTATATGTATATGTATATGCATATGTATATGTATATGTAGATGTATACGTACATGTATATACATATATGCATATGGATAGGTATATTCATATGTATATGTATATGTATGTATAGGCAGATGTATGTATGTATGTATGTATGTATGTATGTATGTATGTATGTATGTATGTATGCATGCATGCATGCATGCATGCATGCATGCATGTATGTATGTATGTTTGTATGTATGTATGTATGTATGTATGTATGTATGTATGTATGTATACATATATGTATGCATATTTGTATGTATGTATGTATGTATGTATGTATGGATGGATGGATGGATGGATGGATGGATGTATGTATGTATGTATGTATGTATGTCTATATATATATTATATATATATGTATATATATATATCGATATAGGTATACACATTACACGAGTATATCTATTCTCATACGCACCTCTCCGAGGGACTAGAGCTCAGAGGCGATTCATGCGTACGCGGGGCGCCGCGTTCGCGATTTTTCTGGCCGTTTCGCTAGGGACATCCTCGACATTCTGACAATCGGTGGCACCCCTCACGCAGATCGTCACGTCAGGGTCCAGAAACACATGGGAATTTCAACATTTTAACATACAGCCTTCAAGAACACATGGTAAGTTCAATAAGTTTGATCCCGATTCTCACAGAACGGCGGTTTCGCCTGAAATATCCTCCCAAAATCAAGCCCCGACGTACCCTCTGGTACCCCAGACCCCGCCTTGGAGCCTCCCAGGGGCCTCCTGGAACCTCCTGGGGCCTCCTGGGGCTTTCTGAACCTTCTGGTACCCCATACCCCGCCTCGGAGCCTCCTGGGGGTCTCCTGAAACCTCCTGGGGCCTCCTGGGGCCTCCTGGGGCCTCCTGCGGCCTCCTGGAGCCTCTTGGGGCCTCCTGAAGCCTCCTGGGGTCTCCTGGGGCCTCCTGAGGCCGCCTGGGGCCTCCTGGGGCCTCAGAACTACATGCGCACACAGAGACACAAATCACGCCCAACACATCCACACGCTAGACACGCTAGACAAACATAACACACACAACACCTACAACGCACAAAAAAACGCGCACAACACAGAGCACACATCACACACACACACACACACACACCCACACAACACTCACAATCCTGGGGCCTCCTGGAGCCTCTTCTGGTATCCAAGTCGGGCCTCCTGAGGCTTCCTGGGGGGCACTGGTACACGCATCGCAAGGTGTGGCAGCCCCACTTGCGCTCGAGTGCGACTTCGCTGTTGCATTTCACTCCTGCTTCAAACGCCCCTTCAGTTTTTTTGTATGAGCCTGGACACACACGTGCCACTTGTATATACACACACACATATATATGTATATATACAGTACAGTACAGCAGCCTTGCATCCGAGTGGACGCGTAGGCAAAGCAAGCGAACAGCCAAACGCTGTGCAGAGCGGCGACAGGCGAGAGAGCCCGGCCAAACGCCGGCGCCGAACAGAATTCGATAGATGACGATGAGGATGAATCAAATCAGCCTTGCATCATGTGGTACACTGAGTTCACCCATTGTTGTCGTGGGCGGCCTCTGCGTCTCTGATGAACCCATTGCTTTGGCGTGGCGTCGGGGTTGCATACCACTTGCCTTACCAATGAGTTTGCGTCATAGCAGGTGATCTTCCTGTACAACTGGATCTGCCGATCGTGCAAGATATTCGACAACGTTTTCATACATGATTTCTCCAAAACTGTGGCATTAGACACCCGTGATATGTACGAACAAGGAATCTTCAATATCTTTCTCAGACACTTGCATTGGAAAGCATCAATCCTTGATCTGTCGGATTTCAAGAGCCATAAAGAATCGAGCGAATATAAGAGCTTGCTGACGACACAGGCAGAAAATATATGCAGCTTCCGTCGCGACGTTATAGAAGTGTGCGCCCAGATTTTGTTCAGATCGCGAAAGACGGCGCCCGCTTCTCCCAGCCTTCGAGATATCTCATTCCCGGCGCGACCATCGCAGGAAACCAAGCCTCCCAAGTACACTGCTTCTCTTGCTGTTTTGATTGGGTTCCCATTTGGCTGCCGCACCACACCAGTAGTTGAAATTTGGATTTGTATTGTTTTGTCCCAGTTTAACTCCAAGCCATACTTCTGCCCCTCTAAAATGACTGCGTCCAATATCAATTGTAAATTCTCCGGGTGTTTGGAAAGCAGCAGCGTGTCGTCAGCGTACAGGATGTCCCTTGTCACGACATACGCGGGCTCTTCCAGGAGAGACAGGTTCTCGAAGACATCGTGCAACATTACTGATTGAACCGCAATGAAAAGATATGGTGATAAAGGGCAGCCTTGGGCAATTCCTGCAAACTGTCTGCGTTCCGACGAACGCCCGCTGTGGTCAACTACAGTGAAGTACCTCTCAGAATAAATGCCCCGTATCATCTGCACCATAGGATCTGGCAGGCCAAATCTTTCCAACGCTTTGCAGAGACAATCTGGCTTCAAGCGATCAAACGCTTTTGCCCAGTCCAACAAAAGCAATAAGATGCCATCGTTCTTGTTTGAGTGTGCTGCATCAATAATTCGCCTTATCAGCATCAGTGCGTCCGCCGTGCCACGCCCAGGGCGGAAGCCAAACTGGGATGATCGCATTCTTCCTTCTGACCCTCCTTGTATAAGACGCCGGTGTATCATCGAAGCCAAAGTTTTGTACCCCACGGCCAACAACGAGATCGGCCTATAGTTGCTTGGGAGGGTTGCGTCGCCTTTTTTGAATAACAAAACAACGTTGGCTCTCCTCCATTTCGTTGGAATGTCTTTCGTTTCCCAACATTTTTGGCATACCCGTAGTAATGCTGCGCACGCTTCGTCGCTATTGGCAAGTACTATCCAAAAATCTGGCGGTATATCATCGGGCCCGGCCGCTTTCCCCTGTTTCATTTTTCGCAGTGCGACCCGCAATTCTTGTAAAGAGAAATTCGATGTGTCGACGGGGAGCGTGTCTCCCATCTTCGTTGTTGCTTCTGGGGCCGCATCTGGAAAACGTACTTGCCATTGAACTTGTTCAAAGTACTCTGCTAGCGCGTCTGGTCGGCCTGCTGTGTCTGTCAACTTTCCTGTAAGATCTTTGACTCCAGCGTGTTTTTGTTGTCGTTTCTTCCTCAATTGTTTGACGGCGCTCCAATGTCCCCCAACCAGTGCGGTGTTGATCCAATTTGACCGGTCTTGTCGCGCGGCTTGCCGGATTTCCTTATTCAACGCCTGCTCCTCGATAGATCGTCCTGTTGTTCGGCATGTGTTTCTCTTCTCGATCAGATCCAAAGTACGTTGTGATATCCATGGGCGCTTTGCTACAGTATGCCTGGGCTTCAAAGAACATGCAGCGGATGAGAAAGCCTGCTCCACC